CCCCCCCCCCCCGGTAATAAGCCTCGCTGGATATAAGCCCTTCTGTTTGCTAACAAAGATATTATTCAGAATATAAGACCCCCCGGATACAAGCCGCCCCCGCCCGGATATGAGCCCATCTAATGTATAAGTGCGTTCCTTTTACGTTTCTTTACAAACATCAAAGTTTTTAACGGAAAGTTATAGGCTAATAGGGTAATAATAGGGTAACAGGGTAATAGGATAGCGTAATAGCTCTAGATGTAATGGTATATTAGCTTTAACTCAGACATGTTTTATCTCGTCGTTCCAAAACATTTTTTTTTTATTCCGCTTATATGCCACCCGAATATAAGCTCCCCCGTTTATAAGCCCACCCGAAACCCCTTATGAAGTTATATAAGTCCAGGGCGTTAACGTGGGATTTTACGGTATCGTGATTTGACTGACTTGTAAGGGGCGAGCAGAGCAGTTTTTTGCCTCAGCCTTCCGCTTTGGCAAATAATTGATATGCGAGACTCTGACAAATCAGGATATTTTGCGATGGCCAAGTTCAATTTTTTTTTTAATCACTCGATCACCAAATTTGCTTTGATATTTCAAAATCACTCTGACGGCTCCGACATCTGCCATTTTTCACGCGAGAGCCCGTTACAATTATGAATGAGTAGAATATTATTTGCAGCAAAACACATTTACACATGAGCAGACAATTATTTGAAGGCAGTTATTTGCCTCCCTCGTACCCAGCCTCTTCGTTCCCGTTGCCCAGCGGTCAGGAAACGACCGTTTCATCAAGCCAGCATGCGCAGTGAGGAATGAAGACTAGAGGACAGTGGTGCGAGATTGGTTATTTGCAGGTCACTTGGTGGGCTTTGCCAATGAAGGGAAAGATGAAATGCATCGAATGATAATAGTTCTTAATTGGCGATAACGAAATTGATATAATTTTGCTCAAATTAGCACAAAGCTGAAGATGATCGACCAGAAATACCACAATAACAAGGATAAACCAATCAGGATTCATATGTTTAGCCAACCTGGTCACTGTGAAATGCATGGGAAAAGTCACACAACCAAACCATATAGTCACATATTTTTATCCAGTAAAAACGGGTAGATATATATATAGGCATATATAGACATTGAGGTTAGTTAAACTGTCTTTCAATGTAAGACAAGTAACAGTTTATTCAGCTTGGTTACAGTATTTGTGTACCACATAATAATTTATTGAATAATAAAATATCATTGTTCTGAAACATGGAAAACCGAAGTACCCTTAAATATCTTTCATATCTATTGAACAAACAAAGAAACAGTCAACCCTCTGCCGACTTTCACAATCGATAATTAATCTGTTTGATACGAACCTTGAGAAAGAAGCCAGCACAGGGAAAGGGATGCCTTTATTGGTCCCACCTGTCTATTCTCTTTTCACTTCTTTTGGCCCTTTTGAACATGTGCTGTTGCAATCTTAGAATTGAATTACCAGGAGTATATTATAAACCAAAGCACTTCCTACTGTCATAGAAAATTAATAAGATATCTGAGGTACATCCACACCAGAATAAAACACAAAATCTAATAAATATCTTTGGAGAGGACAACCGATTGTCCTTCTCATGACAGCGGAGCAGGAGCGGTGACGTCATTGCCATACCGAGTACTTCACATTGTTGGTTCTCAAAATGGCAGCTTTTTTAAAGCGGAGTGCTAGAACCTAGCAAACAATAATAATAATAACAATAATAATCTAATAAGCCCTTTGCAGCTAAGTCATCACATGATCTACTTTTCATAAAATTATGGGCTATAACTTAACAAATGCCAGAAATGGAAAAAGCATGTTGAAATAATCAAAATGNGTTTGGTCCTTTTGAACATGTGCTGTTGCAATCTTAGAATTGAATTACCAGGAGTATATTATAAACCAAAGCTCTTCCTACCGTCGTAGAAAATTAATAAGATAGCTGAGGTACATCCACACCAGAATAAAACACAAAATCTGATAAATATCTTTGGAGAGGACAACCGATTGTCCTTCTCACGACAGCGGAGCAGGAGCGGTGACGTCATTGCCATACCGAGTACTTCACATTGTTGGTTCTCAAAATGGCAGCTTTTTTAAAGCGGAGTGCTAGAACCTAGCAAACAATAATAATAATAACAATAATAATCTAATAAGCCCTTTGCAGCTAAGTCATCACATGATCTACTTTTCATAAAATTATGGGCTATAACTTAACGAATGCCAGAAATGGAAAAAGCATGTTGAAATAATCAAAATGGCCAAGTTTGAGGCATTAAAGAATGAGATTTTATGAAGGTTTGAATCTTTGACAATTGAGAAGATTTGTAAGGAAAAATTTGTTGGAGAGCAAGGCCTTGCTCTTCAGCAACATTTTCCATACAAATCCTCTAATTTTTCTGAAAATTCAAGCTGTCGTATAAACTTATAAAACTGGTATTTTTGATATGCCCTTTCCACTTCTCGCATTCTTCAAGTTACAGCCCATAATATAGAATTTTTCTAGGAAAAATTTGGTCACATGACCCCAGCTGCAAAGGGCCCATTGTTAAATGGACATCAGATTTACCTTTCAGGTGTTGAGGAATTACTCCCTCAAAGTCACATCTCTACCAAGCCTTCTCTCCTTCTCTCTGAGATCTTTTAAGACTGGGATTTCCTTCAGCATCTTAGGTGTAACTTTTGACCACTGTATTCCAGTTGGCCTCTGCTTCTCACCTTCACAAATGATTATCTTTGTAGGTGTCACAATGTAATCTACCTGACCAACATTAAGCATGGAAATTAATATCACTCCTTTTTTAGTCATCTTCAATGCCCAACAGAGCTCTGTTTTTCACAATAATAACAACCTGGGGGGGGGNGAAAAGGTCAGGGATGCTCTTTGTCTCTTGCTTAGGGGAGTAAATCAAATTAAAGAGTTCAGGATGAAACGCCACTATTTTTAGCCATCAAAGTATCTTCAGGGGTGCTCTCAAAGAGATATTTAAACAGTGCTGGTCAGTTCAATTTTAAGTGGTATCTTATGGGGTCAAATAAAGCTTGAGTCACACCCTCATTGGTCTCTTTAAGGGGTTTAATTCAAATGTTCTGACAAGCAACCCAACCTTTTCATGTACGAGTCCCCCTCCTCTGGAAGAACAAAAGGAATAAGGACATGTTATATCCACATCACAACAATGCTGTACACCGAAAGCCTGTTAAACTTAATTCTACAGAAAATGAAACCAGTTGGACATGCCAAGACAAAATTGTATTACCATAAGATCATGTCCATCGGTAAGATCCTCTGGAATATCCACCACCTGGCAGTCATGGACAGTGGAGACTACGACAGTGTCTTGATTGACAGCTCCCATGGTAACCATCATGGCATATTCCATGTCAGCATATCCCTCACCCTTACCTATCCTATAGCCTTGAGGAAGAACATCAGAGAACAAACTTTAGTCTATTTTTATTTTTTCAGAGTACAAGCTGACATCCAATCTCACTCTCAAATGAAATACATGTACCAAACCATGACACAACTGAGATAGGATTACTGTAGGATTATTAGAGATAGGATTACTGTTTACATTTAAGCACCACCATCGATTTGATAGTTCGCAAACAATAATATTTGAGGTGGTTGCATTTGGTGGTAGTTTAGATTCTCTGAGATGTCCAACCCCTCGGACAAAAGAAAGTGGGCAATTGTCAGACTAAGTAACGCCCAGAAAATTTGCCCAGCTAATGCCCAGAAACATGGACACTATTGGAATCAACTGGTGCATGTATCATGAGACCAACTACATGAGGGGTAGAACAAAACACAGACTGCCTAATTGGACCCTCTTCTGAACCTCTCTTGGACCCCATCTGGACCCATCTTTCGAACCTCATCCGGACCCCATCTGGACCTCTCTTTGAAACCTCTTCTGGAACCCTCTAGACCCTTCTTTCGGAACCTCTTCTGAACCCATCTGGTCTTCTCTTTGGTACCTCTTCAAGGCCCTCATCCAAAACATAAACCGTAACCCTAAACCAATGGAGTTCCAGATTTATGTCTAAATGAGGTGTGGAGGAGAGGGGTCCAAATAGTGATCCAAGCTGTGCAAATAATGTAATCGCTTCCAAACATGACAGATTCAATGTAACTGGACTTTTAACGGTTAACATGCACAGTTCAATTAAAGTACCTTTTGGGGACACTGCCACAGATCCAATTACAATAAGATCAATGTTGACCTTGTGTTCTAGCCCAACAGGAGTGCTGTAATTAGTGATACCTTCCCTGGTAGCACATCTCTTTAGCATTGCAGTATCAGCACCGGGTGGAGGGACAATACGGTTAAATAATCCAGTTTTCAAACGTGGGGTAGGAACTAAGAGCAATTTCTTTTCTTCCAGTGTCTTGTATCTAACCCATTCTTGCGGTTTATCTGGGTTTACTTTGACAGTCTTTGCCTTCTTGAATATTTCCATAGCAACAACTTTTTCTCCCGCTGCATTCGCTCCTTTAAAATTTGGGATTCGATGGTGGACTGGTCGTGGAAAATTTGCCAGATCGTTCTTTTCTATGTAGTCCCATATACGCTGACGTATGGCAGCCTTTGTCGTTGCATTTGCTGCTTGAGCGCTCATTTTAGAACTGAATTGTAAATGAAGTTGGTTGTTGAAGATGAAATTGGCAAATCTTCGTGCAAACGTAAAGAGATGTTTTTTAATCATAGATTTCGCGCTTCGACGCCATATTGGATTAATCACCGAAAAGTACTGGGTTCTAGGATCTAGGTCCCCTTGTGGGTGAAACAGGTACAGCGCCCCCAGGGGAGGGGAAACTACTGGACGGCGCGTTTTGAGGATGCCAGGAGGTTTTTCCCAGGGATTTTTACATAGCGAGTTTCTAATACTAGCTAATACTCCACAATCATGATATTATTTCTCTGAAAATTGGAATAGTGTGTGTTTGTTAGTGTAATAATAATGGTGAAATCGTGTATCTAACAAAAGCTTTCTTCAAAAGAGACTGTGTCTGATGCTTGAATAGCAGATGATATTTTGATTAAAGAGTTCCACAAGACGCAAGAAACAAACCGTACTAGTTCTACGCTTAGATAGCGCTTGCGGAACTAATGTCTGCGGAGTTATGGATCCGGAGTTTCGGTGTTTAAGGTTGCGAAGGCGCGATTAAATCAACACGGATGAACACCCCATGAATTTGAGATGGTCATTATACACAGAAACCTCAGTACGGAAAGCTAAAGAAAACAAAACGACTGAGTCGAGGAAACCTACGTTATTTTATTCGTAACTCGTTCGCTTTTTTAGGTTTAAGCAGGTGGGTTTAGGCTGCACTTTTGGAGAAGCAAAGAATATAAATATTGAGAAAGACTGACTGGTTATAACAGAAATTAAGGCAAACACCCAGGATAGGTACTTCATTGTAATTTCTACTTTGTGGTATTGCTGGTATTTCTGGTGCAACAGTTTTCAGTTAGGCTCCAATTATCAAATTGCAACATTCTGTGAGCATGCCCCATTGGAAAGAGTGCTTCTGTAAAATTTAATGTAAAATTTTCATTCTACCTGAAGATGGCTGACTTGGCCAGCCGAAATGTAGTACACCTTTGAAAAACATCATTCTGAAGCGTGGGCTGTTGCGCAGGTGGCCTGAATGTAACAGAAGTTTGTTTTAGCAAACAAGTGTACAACAAAAACATAAAGCAACATTTTTTAGCTACTGATGTTATCGAGTACAAAACGACAAAATACGTGCAGTTTAGCATCTTTGCTCGCCTAATCGCGTCACGAGTAGGCAGGTGCGATTCGCAGGCGTGTCCGGTGTTCTTGTGGGAGGGAACGTTTGGATAACACTAAAACAGCTGTGCCTTGAAAACACCACTAATGCTTAACGTTCATCGGAACCCTGAACTTTATCTTGAAATAATTTCGGACACAGGTAGTGAAGCTGTTCATATTGTGATAAAGGGAGTTGCTGCCTATGGCTATAGGTATATTGTTTATTACATTGCCAGTTGTTGCCTATGGCTATATTTCTACTCTTGCTAATAAAAGTATATCGCCATAATTCAAGCAAGAACGTGAAAACACACAAGCAAAACCGGCAATAAGCGCACAATACGCACGGAAAAGGGAAAGGTATTTTAAGAATTCCTGTTTCCTGAAGCATAATTGTCTTGAACTTTATCAGACGCAGTCGATCTGTACCACTTTAAAACTTCTATCTCTATTCGTTCTTATTAATCTTCACATCTTTTGTACATGTTCTACGGGTTAGGGGCAGTGTTTGTGTTCTCAGTTTATCTATTGTCTGGTCTTGTCTCGTTTGGCTGATTATGAAGAACTTTGTAAATCAGGTCGCCCCCAAAGACGGACATTCTGTGGCCCCGTCCACACCATGCGGTTGGAATTCGAAAACAGAGGTTTCACTCCGAAAGCGCATCAAATGTTTCCCGTTCGTACTACGCCGGAGAACTTTGAAAACGCAACAATCACCGGTCATTTTGGATTTGTGTTTGAGGAAAACTCGGGAAGGGGAATATCGTAACCTCGTCGTTTTCGAGAAGGGCGAAGCTTCGTTTTCAAAATGATTTCCGTCCACACTAAAACACAAAGCCGGCGTTTTCAAATTCCTCCGGTTTGAAGAGTGTTTCTGAAAAGCTTCGTTTTCGTGACGGATTAGTGTGCAGGCTGAAGCCTAACCGGAGAAATAAGCTCCGTTTTCAAATTCCTCCGTCGTAGTGTGGACGGGGAGTAAGGAGCTAGGAATTAGCGGGGCGTGGAGGGGCAGGTTGCGGGACTGGAAATCTACTCTGAGTGGGAGAAGTTGTCGAGGGAAAATGGGAACGTGTGCAACATTCAGGGCCTATCAGGGATGAACATGATCATTTATTTCAAGGGAACAATTTGAAGGAAATTGATAGGGAAGCAAGGGGGGAAAGTGAAATTTTCAAGGGATCAAAGAAACATGCTAACCCCCCTCCTCCTCGCTCTCCCCGGGAGGCCCCCAATATTACGGAATATTTTTCAAGTCACAGTTCATCTGCACTGGTGTATGTATACAAACCTCGCCGTGTGGCGAAAACTTTTAATTGATCATCAATCTCGCTTTTCAAAAACTATGGACATCGAAACTTTAAGTGAATGAAAAAAGTTAAATTCTGAAAGCTATAAACATTGAGTTTGGTTGCCTCGTTTTCAAATTTTAAGAAAATGCTGCCTTAAAATACAAAGTTTTATTGTCTGTAAATGATAGCTTTCCCACAGATTCGCGAAATCCAACGAGAGGATAATTAGAAATTTGCTAACAATAATTACCAAACAATTTTCAAAAAGGAAACAACATTTTTTTATTTTACAAAACATGTTTCGACATTCCTATGACATCTTCAGTTGCAAATGTTCGACGGTTGTACATTTGAATTTTCGCTGTATACATTGGGATACAAACAAAGGACTCCGCGCGCGCGCCAACAGTAGTTGAAACAGAATCAAAAAACACCAACAACAACAACAAAAAGAATTTTTCAGTTTCTCGTTTTGCGGCGCGGCAAGCCGTCTTCCCGAAATTGTGGACAAAGCCACTTGACTACAAATGAAAAGTACACAGAAATTGACCATGTTTATTCAGCAATATTGTTCCACACTGTTTTTTTAAACCTTGACGTCACTTGTATTCATGCGACAGGCAAATTCAATATTTAAATTTCGTCCACTGCGGAGATCAACACTTTCGCGTTTTGAATAACAAGAACAGCTGCAAGTGGTTTCGGGCGCTCCGTTGAATTAATACAATACAGGTTTGGTTTGGAGACGGCACCACGCAATTTCATGATCACACGTAACTACCTGAGTCGTAGACATAACATAGACACAGCAATCCGCCCTCGAAGAATATATCAATATTGTGTTCGTTGTATGAGTTGCTTTTTAAATGGTGCTCGGTTAAGGCGCAAACGCCATTTTCCCTCAGCAACTGCACGGCGGAACACGTTTACAAGGTCGACGATCATCTTCGTCAAGTTTTCGTATTAAAGACGTACAAATGGAAGTTTCACACTCTAACATATCTGTCTTCGAACATAACAATTCTGATTCGTCGCTTTGTGAGTACATGTCTCCAAAATCCACCGAAGCGATTCTGGCTTGTCTCGTCATCATATTAATCCTGTGCATTTTAGGTAATGGCGCAGTCTGTGTGATCGTTTCACGACATTACCAGCTTCACACCGTGACAAACGCTTATTTCGTGAACATGGCTATTATTCAGCTACTCTTTGCGCTGTTCTCCATTCCACCGTATCTAAGAATTTCAAGTTCCTCCGCGGGAAAGACACAATGGTTGTGCGTTTTCATTGGATTTTCTTTCCAGTTGTTCGCGGCTCTTTCGAATTTAGCGTTAACTTTGCTCACCATAGAACGTTACTATGTAATTAATAATTCCGGCAGGAAGAAAATTTCCGCCAAAGCGACCGGTAAGCTGATATCTGCTGCAAGTATTTTGGCTCTGATCTTTGCTGTTTTATGGACACTGCTGGAGGGAAGTTCAACTAATTGCTCCACTGCTTCTGACTTTGGCGGCTCGAGTCTAGCCTGTTTTTCTTTACTAAGCTCTCACAAAACAGCGACTCTACGAATCCTCAACATTGTTTATATACTTGTGTGTTTTTTGCTTCCGATGGCATTAATGGCTGCACTGTTTGTAAAAATGACCAAGCCACTATGGAGTGGATTTCATGGTATTCGACCAATGGGTACTGGAAACACAGGAACGATTCGTTTTTTTGCCGAAATCAAAACTACAAGAACTTTGTTTATTATCTCGGTTCTTCACCTCTGTTGCTGGCTTCCTCTATGCATAACATCGCTATATTTATCTTCCCGGCTGAAACAAAACGACCGCCATTTGTCTTTTTTAAGAGCTAAAGTTGTCAGCATTTGTCTGGCTTTCGCGTCATCCTGTATTAATCCTCTGATGTACGCGCTCAGAAATCCTCGCTTTAGTATAATATTTCGACCGAACACGCGTTCGCATGGGAAGAAAAGAGTTCATTTTAAAAAGACTGCAGAAAAAGGTGAAAACACTTCAACAAAGCCAATGACTTGGGTACAAAGAACGAAATGTGCTTCCGTATATGATACTAGTCGAAGCGAAGAAACTCAAACTACATCTTCATGTTAACGAGCTTTAACGCAAGGCAATATTCCGTATTAAACATTTCGGCGCTGTATTTTGCTAGCTTGTCAAGACGGCCGACAGGTGTTTTTTATTGAATAAACTTGCTTCCCTGAATTTTGAAAAGTGCTTATTGAAAAACATATCTTGAGTAACAGAACAAAAAGTTATCCTCAGTCAATTAATGCGTGCGTTTAGAGGTTTTGGAGCCCGGCCGTGTGATATTTCGGTAAATGTGAGCTATTATAACTGCAATGGCATTATGCACCTGCCAAAGCGTTTTTATCATTTTGTTTCTCATTTCAAATACTGCTCAATTGTCATTAGAAATATCGTTACCCACTCTTAACAATAACATCGGGTCTTTCGTTTAGACCCAGTGAAAAGTTAAGTTTCCAATCGTTTTCACGTGAACGAAATTTTCAAGACAATTAATTCTTCAGCGCTAGTGTACAGTCAATTACGTCCGTGGATCCTTTTTCGATTTTCGCTTGAGTAAATAACTAAATTTTCAATAACGACTTTGCATCATTATCTACATTATTCTATCCAAACAGGCCCTGAAAATGCACGGAAAACAACTCATGTTGAGCTGCAATTAAAAAGAAAACACTTTTCTCTTTTTAAAAAAGTCGCGGGAGGTTCGACGAAGGTGGTGCTTGCCACATATGAAGCTCAGTTGAATTTTTTTTATTCGTTGAAAGCACCGATTTTTAACCGCCATTTTCACCTAAGTTTTAAACTGCCAGAGTGAGAATGGCGTTTCGTAATTTTAATGTCGTTTTTCTAATGGTGAGATACATAAAATAAAACAAAAAACTTCCTTAATAGAAGAAAAATTCCGTCGACCGAAACCCTTTTCGGTTAAAAAAACGGAATGAAAATTTTGCGTTGTGAATAAACCAACCGTAAATTGAAATATAAATTAACCAAATAGATTTAACTGATCAAGAAAGAAAAACTAAAATTTATTCATGCGAAATATATATGCAAGTTTGTAAAAAATTCGAAAATGTTACTGAACGGTAAACTGTTTTGTACCATAAGAAAATTATGAGAGATAAATTGTAATATAAATCAGTGATATTTTTTGCGAAAATAATTAAAATTAAAATCTTAGTAAATGAACTTGCGCTTGTGATTTTTTCCTGCCTAATTTACTCTAATGGAGCAGCTGATAAGGAAATGTATATTTGCTTTTGGTTTTCAGTTCTTCAACAGGATTTCTATCCCTATCATCTACAGATCGGAAAAAATTGAGTTACGCGACAAAAATTATCGTACATCAAGCAAAATATGTATTTCGCGTTAAATTTCTCTCAATTTATGGCTGAATTATTACAACTTTCATTTGCGAACGCAGTCTGCAACTAGATGTTACACTCTTCCCCAATGGTTCCTGTTTTTCGGCTGATAATTTTAGAACTGAAAAATCAAAATCATTTTTTTGGTTGACAAGTAATTTCCTGGTTTATTTCTTTTTCCTTTTTGATTTTTTGTTTTGTTTTGGTGTGCGTGCTAAAATTAGAAGGCAATGACCCTATAAATTACCAATATTTCGACATATTTACGATATTGCGACATGCCTACCATGCATAAATCAAGAAGGAATGGAAGCTTACAAAAATATTGGGCTGGATACGGCATTTATCATTTGTATGGAAAACGCGTCCATGACACCGTTGATGAAAATTGATAATGACTTCGGTGGGAAAACAAATGAAATTTTTCTAGAGCAATTGTAATGTCCTCGGAGGTCCTTGTTTTCTCGATTTTTAATACCGGGACGACCAGAATTTTCTGTACCATTTGTTCGCGTTATTAATACCACACAAGATTGACTTTGTTGTGGGAAATTTGGTGAGTGATATTTGATGTTATTGCGATAAAAAACGTGAAACAATTTATGATGATCTGTTTGTTTGCCTTCCACCACCCCAACCCCTCTTCAACTTTGCAGGTGAGAGTTCAGCAGTGAATTAAAGCTGCTACTCAGTAAATAAAGCAAAATTATCCAAGGGCCTGATGTTCAGCTTTATTCACAAGAGATTCCAATTATTCACAGTGAAAAGAAACTCGATTATAGTTTGGCAGTGGCGACTCATTCCAAGTCCTACTCATCATCGTCAAGCTCTCCCCATTCCTCCTCGCCTTGTTCCCCTTGCTCAGCTTGAGGCATTCCCAGGAAGCCGAAGTCTACAAGGGGATCCATACCAACAACAGGAGCCATGACGACCGGTGTCTCTTCTTTCTTCTCCTTCTTAGGCGTCCTGTAAAAACAAGTCCTTAACATTTACCAAAGATTCCTACGCAAGTGCGTGTAAATACAAGACATTCCCATACGCTGTTAATTTTTAACATAGTTTGGCCATGTATTTTCTGCGGGACAGTTTTTGCCTGTCCTCAATCTCCTTATCGCGACAAGCGCACGATATTCTGGATTTTGCCTATTGTTCAGGGTCATGCGTTTTGCATGTGACATTGGCCAATCCGCAAACATTTGGATTTGAGTTTCATCTGAGGTCATCATCAGGTGCATTTAGTAAACAATAAACCATTTCACAGTTGTCTGCTCAGTGACCTGGCCTTCGAATGGCAGTAAGGCTGGTCGCTGTCACGTTAAGTTTTCTACGCTGTAATCAGCCTCGCTTCATTGTTACAAGACAAGATCACGGATTACTTTTCCGTCCTCACCTGTTTCGCCATTTGCGGAATATCACGGTAGAGATAATGATCAAAAAGAGAATACCAACGAATCCACCACTGATCATTGCAATGATTTTAATCAGCCCCTTCATGTTACCTGAAACAATGTGTAGCGCGGTATAAATAATATTTTACCGCTTCGACAAAGCTAAACGTCAAATTCAGAAAATTGAAATATCGCAGGAGCGGTATTTTCAACTGTAGCGTACGGTATAATGGTAAGAAATTTCATTATTATATGGCTAGCTCCGTAAGCGGAAAAGATGAACTGAATCCTGCACTGTGATTGGCTATCCGATCGGGCAAGATGGCGCTATCTTGCCCACTCGGGATTACCCGCTATGTCCCGCAAGGATATTGGCTTTTTTTCCTTGTAATAAATCCTTTATTGACCAAGCTTGTTCAACCAAGATGGCTAGATATTGCTCTTTTTCTTTTTTGGTACCCGTTTTTACTGACATCGACTTCGTCTCGGTCCATAAACACACACAAAAAAAACTTTGCCAATATCCAGCCATCTTGACCTCACGCTTGGTCAATAACCCATATATAAAATGATGCCCGAGCTACGCGCATATGAAGAATTTCCTTGTAGCATTCAAAGGGTTTCCTATGCATTATCCAGTTATTTAACGAGAAACCAGAACTGCAAGGGACCGCATACGAAATACGCTGCCAACGTAGGATCTAAAAGAGATCTGATCAGCCAAAAAAAAAAATGTAATGACAAACAATAGACTACAAGGCTGATACTACGTGAAAGACGTTTCGAGGCACCCACATGACAAGAACCGATAAAGCAGAATCGCAGCAGTGGACAGCTGTTTCGTTCACTGTTGCGATCCTGCTTTATCGGTTCTTGTCATGTTGGTGTCTCGAAACGTTTTTCACGTAGAATTATTTGTTTATCCAGTTAAGTACTCCCAAAGTTGTCACGTCAGCATAGTGACGTCATGATACGTCATTATGACCTGCTTAGCAACTTGTCTGGTCTAAACCAGGGACTCAGCGGGGTTTGTGAAACTCCAAAGTGCTATGCGCGCGAAGTTGTTACACACGTCTGCTGACCTTCAAGAACGCAGCTTTTTCCAACTTTTCTATACCCAGTTTCGCACAAACAATGATAACCGTCGTCGCCTGGGTAAAACTTCTCAAGGTTGAAGCAATAGCTGTGTTCAATGGCGTCACAAGTGTTGTTGTAGCCAGATTTGCATTCATCGATATCTGGAGAGAAAAACGTCGAGTAGTTTATTCCAAGTCGACTAAATTGAGAGCAGAGCTGAGAGTATCACCAAGGGACGGACCACTATTTTTTTGAGGGGGCGGGTTGGAAATTTCCAAAAAAAAATCCTGCGCAGCAAAAACGGCTGCAAAAAAATCGTGCAAGAAGAGCCGTCGGGAAAAAATTGAGCACGTGCTTTCTACTATCCAATTCCTGTGTTTGACTTTAGGAAAAATTCTTGATTAGGCCATTGGTAAACAGAAAAACTCATGCACAGCCGAAAGGTGAGAAACTGAGAGAGAAAAAAAGAGAAGGGGAGAAAATTGCCCAATCCTAATAAAGCGGATACTTCAGCAACAGCTGTGAATGTTCATCATGGTAGTTTGGCTGCCAAACAGAAGTGTCTGCCTCTGATCAGTGCTTGTCTGTATTATGAAAGAGCCTGGCTTGACCTCTACCTTTATTGAGTTTGTAAAGCCAGCGAGGCGTCACACTAACTATGGCTTAGAATGGCTTTTGCCTTCAAACTGGAGTGGTGCCCACTTTAGAGAGATTTCTGCCTTTAAGTAGTATCTACCGATGAAAAGGCCTCTGCCCTAAAGGTTATCACGTTACGTCACAGCTAGGCACAAACACAACACATATCAGCGTGGAAAGTGAAGAGAGAAAATAATGTAAAACCACGACGTTTGGACTGGGGCTCTGTCCGGGGTCACTGTGTTGTGTTCTTGAGTAAAACACTTTACTCTCACAGTGCAGGGCGCCAGCAAACGGTTAGGAAAACCTGAGTGAAGACATACTAAGTGGGGAGGGATGGGGGTTGACCTGCGACTAGCCCCACTCCAAGAGGAGTAGCAATACCACCCGATGTCATGCGAAGGACACTGGAAATAAGTATTTGTTAAGCTACTTTGCTCCGAAAACGTTTTTATTTCTACTTACCAACACACACACGTTGATTATTCTCTTCATATCCGTCATAACATTCACACGAGAAGCTGCCTGCAGTGTTGGTACATTCTCCTTGGTCGCAATCGTGAGACTGGCATTCGTCTACGTCTAAGACAAATAAACCATCAAGAGTTACTCGTGAATTACGCCAGATTCATACAATCCTCTCCGAACGTGACTGTTTCGCTAATAACACAGTGCTTAAAGGTTTTCCCGCCACAAAACGTTTACAGCGTGCCTTAGCCAATCAGATTGAAGGTGAAGTCTTCTAAGCCAATGAAGGGCAAAGCCAAGCTTCCCGCATTTCTCGAAGACTGTTACATGTTTTCCCGCCCTTGCCATATGTGACACGTATTACCGCGTTTTCGCTACACCACAAGTGTCATGTTTTCCCGTGGTTTTTTCTCTACACTCTGATTGGTTCGTTGCATTAATTGCCACGGACGTGATTGGCTCTGCCTGCATGCTAGTTTTGAACTTTACGATAGCTATATTTCCAGTCGTTATTTTGCAGTGTAACACAAAAACCACTCATGGCGGCATCTTGAGTCAAGTAATTACCTACGCATGTTTTGCCATTTCCTGTGAAACCTTCCAGGCAGGAACACTCATAACTCCCATGTGTGTTGATACATTGGCCGCCTATATTCGAACAGTCGTTAATGAGGTTGCATTCGTTGATGTCTGTGGATATTAAGCAAACCCAAAAAGTGTTACGAAAGACTTTATTTAAGTGTCAATAGTATTTAGCTTAAAAAAACTAATTGGGGACAACTATTTCTGTTACAGAAATAAACGTTGCAGGAATTGATACTGATGTATCGTAGCAAAGCTCTTTAAACTAAATATAAAATTAATTACAGTGTGGTTCTCTCAAAGAAATTCAATCCCATTTGGACCACTTTCATAATACTTTTAACGCTCATTTATTATATATGTTATACTCAAAATAACCAACACTATTAATGGTTAAATTTTTTGTGTTCAAAATAACCAAGGGAAAAGCGCGCACGATCGTTGTCTGTCAGCGATTGGTCGAGACCAACTGCTGTTTAACAAAAACTGTACCTCGATTGGCTACCCTGCCACGTACCAGCTATTCTGTATTAGTATCACCCAACTAGTGGACTAATGCACATCCTGCATTTTGATTGGCTACGCTACTAGAGGACTATTAGTAATAGTCCTCGAGTAGCGAAATTGGCGCAATCGAGCGTCACGCTTTCTTTCGTTTTATTCCCAAATAAATATTTCTTCAACTTGCATTTGCTAACTTTATTGTTGCCTTTTCTGTCCGACTAATTGGGTGATACTAAAACAATTAGACCCTTCGCTCTCAAGGGCCACAGGTCTAAAGCCCATTCGGCTTCGCCTAATGGACTATTGACCCGTAGCCCTTGCGGGTTGCGGGTCTAATTGTTAAGTATATAGTGAGTGGCGTGACTGGGGAGATGATTCGCGATTCGCAATAGATACCTCGCCTACAACTGTTTCATTCTGACCTGTACATTCTTTCCCTGTGCCATGAAATCCTATTGTGTTACACCTGCAGGTGTAACTGTACAGCTGGTCTGTACACGTCGCCATGTCATCACAATCATTTTCTTCCAAACACTCATCTACCACTGAAAACATTTCAGTGCAAGAGTAAAACAAGTGTTTAAACGTCGATCGGAATGTGCAAGGTCGCACGACGCGCCAAAATTAAGGTACTGTTTCTTCTGATGGTTTTTTCCTTAGATATACGCGCCTGAACTAAAGAAGGATGTCACCCCTGGGAGGGGCGGAGGTTATAGGTTCAGGCTTAAAGGAGCTCAGTCACGGTATTTTGAGTTATTTTGGCCACATACAAAATTACCTTTAAATGGTAGGAAACCTGAAAATAACAGTTTAATAAGATAGAAAAACACCAAAGAGATGATGATAAACCATAAAGGAACAAGGATGGCTAAGGACAGAGAAGATTAACACTGATTACAAACGATGAATTTGAAAAATTGAGGCTAAACGTTTCAATATGCGCAAACCGCGACTGTGCTCCTTTAAGGGATATAAAAGGGTAAGGATTTCACAAGTTGACGTACATGAAAGGGCAGGGAAATTTGTCATTTAGGTATAACATGAAAGGGAACTGAATGAATAATATTTCTTTTGGTTAATATCTCTCCTGGAAATGTTTGATGTTTCCCTGTAGTATTTTTCATTGATCTCACTCCAAGGGTTTGGAAAAGGGATGCACTGTTCTTATGTAAATCCAATGAAGCAAGGGACCGCAAATGAAAATGCTGCTAGTATACATACATGAAAATAGTACTTTATCTCTATAAAAGGTATAACAAAGGGATACATTTTCTGTCAAAGTGCTATACAAGGGGTTGGACCTCGTGGCGGAACCTCACCGTACAAAACTTTGTAGAGTACCCCTGGGGGGATTTCAATCGAGTCTTGTTCTCTCCTCCATTGTTTACCTGCCCCCCCCCAAACCCATATCTACAGCAGCAATGACGGTTTTTTTATCATTTCTATTCAGTGTTCATGTCATACAACCACATTTCACAAATTATAATATTGTACAGGTGTTCCTAAAGAGCTTACACTGACAAAGGTTCTTATCTTATCTTATTCAATGGGAATGCNCCCCCCCGTC